TTTAGTTGGTGGAAGCAGTGAGTGAGATGCAATAAGAGAAATTAGGTGAAACCATATCGTACAGACTCAAATTTAGCACATCTGGATTCTTTGTTGCTCTTTCCATTTAATCCTCAGTGAAAGAGCTCTTCAGCAAGAAGGTATGGGATGTCTTGATTAGCTCTTAAATCCTTGTAGAGAAGGAGATGCAGACCACCATGAGTGTTAGTCTAATTTGCAGGATATCGCATGTACCACGAGCCAAGGTTATGCATGAGGACAGTTGATTCAAAACAGGCAAGTACTGCGTAAGCTTGTTCTGTTCTTTCTCCAATTAAACCCTTAGAGTTTAAATAGAAAGGAGCCCCTGAGTGGGAAACAAAGAGCTTGGGTAAACGGGGGGCTGGTGTTTTAGGGCAGTCTTACCTGGGCACCTTCCACTGATGCATGAGTTTGCATGGAAAACTATTTGTACTCCCTTTTCCCTTCCCCTTATATAAGGTTGTCACTCGTTCCCTCTGTATTGCCATTAGATACACAGTAGCCTTAGGAGGTGACTGTGTGTGTGAATGGCATAATGAAACTAAACTGGATGTAATACCATGAAAACAAGGTGCAGGTAAATCGGAGAGGATGCTTGACAGAAAATGTGCCTTGTGAGGTTTTTAGGGTTATGGGATTCTTTTATTTTTTGTTCCAGTGAAAGTTATTGAAGGCAGATGTCTTCTGGTGAAAACCGGTAAGGAAATTGCTAGATGTATGAGAGTAGACTTCCAGACTTTGCAGTGCTTGGGGGAGGAAAAAAAGAAGAAAAAAGCTAGATTTTATTGAAGGTGTTCAGAACTGTTTAGATAATGAAAAGTAGAAAAGTAGCAAGTGCCTCAATCTTCAATATTGCACCTGGCCAAAAGTGTTGTAAAGAGATCTTTGCCAATCTCTTGTCCCTTAGTTAGGTATCTAAATGGGAGTCTTGAGTATTTCCAAGCTCTAGCCTGTAAGATGCATTATTCGCAGACTTGAGCCTGTAAAACATTGTACAGCCTCCCCTCTCACAAGTCTTGTATGCTGCTGTCCACAGTTGTATTTTTACTTGCAGAGAGAACAGTGTGTATAACAGACAATCATCTGTGTAGGTAGTATGTGTCCATTTTCTTAATTAAAATTTGGAGGGTCCATAAGTTATAAGAGATTCTGTGGCCAGGTTATTGTTGTACGATAGAGAGAAACTGGCAGTTAGTCCTTTTATTGTCTTTATTCCCAAATCTGTCTCTTCCAGTGTTATTATCTTCACCATTGCTTCTATGGACTAGACTGTGTGCTGCTCAAGGAAAATGATGCTCTTGGAGAGGTTCACAGTAGTTCTGACAAGCACCAGTAGGACAAACCTGCCTCCCTTCTTTGCAATCAAATTGCCCCATTCATAAGTTAGGTGAGGTTGCAATGGTATCTTGCATCAGTGCAGATGATGGTTAACCATTTTACTAGTATGGTAAGTATGCAGAGGTGCAAATATCTTGGTCTCAGAAAGCTGCTTCTCTTCTTTCTAGCTTCCAAAATGTGAAGGAATTGAGAGGACAGAGGAGAATCAAACATAATGAAATAAAGATTAAGTGCAGATGTCAGGATTTAGATGCATGTTCGAAAGGCAGCCCTATCAGAGGACTTACCAACTCCTTGCACAAGAGACTGCAATGGTCTTAAATGCGGATCTATAAAATAAGAGCATTTCAGATTTATACATAGGCTTTTGATTGAGTCACTGTAGCTTATGCTGCTACGGTAAACTTGAGCATATCCGTTTGTACATCTACAATTAACCTTTAATGTGCTACTTTCATAAAAACAGATGGGAGAGAGAGCAGAGGCGAGGGGATAAGTTAGTTACACAGGTCAAATGGATTTGAGTCTAATTTCCCAGGCTTTATGTGTTATAGCCGATAAAGATTCAGATGTATTGAGTTTGACTCTCTTGAGTGGACATCTGTTACAGCTGTTTGTGAACAATACAAGCTGTTTGTGTTTGGAAAACAGCTAAAATTAAGAATTATGCATTTGTATTTTTAATTTTTTCTGATTTCAACTAGTTATATTGGCATCTTTGAGAGCAAATTTCTCTATTGCTGTGCTAATTTACTAACGTGATCTGTTGGATTCTTCTGAGAGGTGTTTCGATGTGCTTTATTGTCAGCTTTGTTTGTCTTCTGGCAGTCTGCTAACCAGCCATGTGATAACTATGGCAAAATTAAGAATTATCGGAGCTTGCTTGAAAAAACATGATTTAATGGTTGATTTAGTAGGAATATTAATTGGTCGATTAAGAAAATTGTCAAAACTGCTTCCCTGTATTTCCCTCATCAACCCTCCTCCTCTCCTAGTTCATCACGGAGACTGTTTCTTCACCTTCTTAAGGATCAATGCTTGTAAAGAGTTGCAAGAATAGTATAGTTGCTCATTTTCACTTCTGTCATTTGATGTGGACTGGGCAGGAGTGGACAGATATGTGACAAGATAGTAAGTGATTTTTATATGAAAATGATCTCAAATTGCATGAGAGAAGAAGCCACTGATGCCTATTTTTTTATTTTTTTTTTCCTGCAAAGGTTCTACTGAGTTGTGCCCCAGGTCTGTGGAAATGGGCAGCATAACGAAACCGCAGCTAATGAAGGACATGTTTGGCCTCCTGCAGGGTTTGCCAGCCAGGCTCTGCTTGCAGACATTGCCTGTGTGAGAAGAGCAGTAGAAATGAGAGATGACTGGAATTACACATTTTAGGGGAGATTTAGAGCAATACATGTAATATGATGAGATATGAGACAACATATGTGTAACAGTTTGTTATAATCTGACTAATGATCACAGAAACAAATCTAGCAATGTTAGGTAAAAGACTGCTCATGTTCTACTTTACTTGGATATTCCAGTTTTAAGTAATTAAATTGTAAATATTGGAAAGATTTTTACTTTTAAACACAGAAAGTGTCATCTGTGCTGATGTCAGTTCACATAGGAATGAAGCAGTAATGTTTTAGACTCTTTCGCAGTTGCTTTGTTTTATGCAGAAAAAAAAAAGATTGGAGTAAACCAAACAAGCATATATCAGGCCAAAAAAAATACTTTTTGTTTTCTTTTTTTTTTTTTTTGAAATATTGTATTCTTTCTGTAATGCTGCATTTCCACTAATAAGAATTAGTGTCCTAGTGTTGAGAAATGAGGCCATACATCTATTTTTTCTCAGCTTTTTCTGAGCACCCTTTCTTTTGTATAGGGTTTGAGACTTGCTTACAGAAGCCTTTTTTTATAGGAAATATGATACAGTAGGTGTTGAGACTTTCCTTGTAGAACTCCCACTAAAATCAGTTTTCTAGCAGATGTTTTCAAAATTGCTGTTTCTGATTTTGTAAGCTTTTCTGTAGGAGATTGTTTTGTGCCTGAAGCTGTTAAGACTGTAGCATCTACTAGCAGCTATAGTTTATAGTTAGTGGTTTTTATTTGCTTCGTTAGTTAAAACTTTGAGATCATGCAATTTCTCTGAAGTGCCTCTGAGAAAAAATATTTATTTTCCTTCCTTCCTTCTATTTCTTCCTTCTCCCTTCCTCCCTCCTTCCTTTTTTCTAATGGTTTATGTTGGGCAGGAAGCAATAAAATTAGTTTCCTGGATGTCAGTCCTAGCTAAATGACAACTTGGAAGTAGCGGTTCTTTAAAAAAAAAAAAAAAAAAAAAAAAAAAGAGTTGGTACATATGCAATTGTGCCTTTCTTGATAGCCCCCATGTTATAAGCACTAGATTTAATAGTGGTGTGCTATTCAGAGTTGCGTAAAGAAACTGCTGATCAGTAGCATCTTTATATAAATTTTCATATACGTATGTATATAAATACATATATATGAATATTTATGTATTTAAAAACTACAAAAAAAGTGAAAAGATCAGCCTAAGAGCCAGGAACAGCTTTCTTCTCATTTTTTCTGAAATTCAGAAAGCTGTGTGTTGATAGTTGTAAACTTTGGTTTCCTTGGCTTTAGGTCCTTTTTCACACTTGAGTGACTTTCAAGAGCAATAAAGTTACTATGTTAGTCACTTTTAAACTTTACTATGTATGGAATTTAGAGGAACACAGAAAAGCCACTGAATATCTGAAATACTGGACTTCTAGTTGCATTTGCACAAGTAACAGCCTTTGGACATGGAGTCTTGTATTAGCTTATTTATAGAAGATATTAATACTGGACTAGACTCTTTATTCATTATGATATTGGCAACTTTCCCAGCCATTTTTCATTTTTTTAAAAATTATTTTAAATTGTTTATTTTTTTTTACATTCCGTATTTTCTTGATGAAAGCATTAATATCTATTAATGTGGGATGTTGTTACAGTAGTAGGAGCAATACATGAGTTATTACCTCGTATGACCAAGCCTCAGGATATTTGCAAATGTGAAGAATAAACATTAGTCCTTGAGATTTTTTTGCTTGGAGAATGTCTTATTGTAAATTTCCTCTCATAGACATAAGATAACTAGGGCTAGCTGACTTGTATTGCATTGCCCTGGGGCATTCCCATTATAATGTTTCAAGAGTTTATTGCAAGCTCCTGTGTGTTGCATGTCAGACTCATGCAGAAGAGTATTTCATTCAAAAAGATTGGTTTTGTGTCATCCATATTTAATCTTAACAATATTTTATAAAATCTCCTTATTACTTATTAAAAACATATTAGGGTGAAGACGAGGTCAGTGGTTGTCAGTATTAACTGGCATAGAGGAAAGTTTCAATTGTTACGTACTTTCATAACATACAAGCCCAGAGCACTTCAGTTTCTTTGTAACTGTACATCAGTGAATCTCAATACTTTACTAAGGAGAATTTAGAAATTCCTTGCTTGAAAGAATTGTATCAGGATGTTGGGGAGAGGGGAATTGTAAAAAGGTATTGTTGTCCGATACAAGTTTTCTTGTGTTCTTGTGTTGTTTTTGTGTTTTTTTTTTTTTTTTTTTTTTTTTTTTATCGTTTCATTTAGCAATGGGTCAAGAAGCTGGCAAACCTGCCTGGCCCAGACCAACAGGAGGCTATCAGACCATTACAGGTAGAAGATATGGAAGAAGACATGCCTATGTCAGTTTTAGACCGTCTTTGACTGGCCAAGAAAGGAATGGACTGCAACTCAGCAGAGAATGCGAAGGATTAGAACTGGATGATGTTCAGAAAGAGAAGTCGTTGTGTACGTGTGTGTTTTTGTGCTATGTGCTGTATAATTACAAACTGAAGTGCCTGGAAGTGTGGTGGGAATGTTGTAGAAGGGAAGGGAATAGCCACATAAGTTAGGAAGTACAAAATGGGTGTTTTTGTTATTGTTTATTTATTTATTTTAAATGAAACCCGCCTGGATGCAGCCTTGTGCCTCATGCTGTACGTGTCCCTGCTTGAGCAGGTGAGTTGGACTAGATAATCGCTAGATCATCATCAGCCTCAACCGTTCTGTCATTTTGTGGTTCTGTGAAGCTCAACATGAAGTCAATTTAAAATAGTAAATATCTAAGGCTGTTTAATATCACTTTGAGAAGTAGATTCTGGAAATAATTAAAAAGTCCTAACCAATTAGATAATTATAACATTGTGGAATAATTTTTATTTTTTCTTCAAATAACTCTTTCATATTCACATTTGGAAAAAAACACCTTCTCTTAACATTTTAATAGAACTAGTCTACTAAGTATTTTACGTACCTTGTCCATGTTTTTCTCCAAGGTGCATTTGTCAACCTGAGTAGCTAGAGCAAGAATTATTTTCATCCTGCATAACCTCTTAATAATCCCCTTTTTCTTCTTTCTTCCCTCCCTCTTCTTCCCCGTTTTCTTTTTTTTTCTTTTTATACCTGTTGGACCATTTCCCTGTGTGGTCTTTTTACTTATTATTTATTTAGTGAACATTGAACTGAACTGAATTTAATTTCAACTTTTTGGAGGACTTTAGCTTTTAGAGGATGATTTCATACGGAGTCACAAAATGACCTATTGGGTTATAAACAAGCCAACTTCTTTCTCTGAGGTGGTTATTGGTACAGCGTTAGGTATGCTGAAAAAGCACTCGAAAGCACTCCTTCCCTTGTAAATTATTTTAAAATGACTTTTACTTTTTTGTCTTTTTTTGAAGATAATATAATGTAAATTTAACTTTTTCATAAACCATTGTTTTTGGAGGCTGTAACAGTGTAGATCTTTTCTTGGTGGCTTTGTTTCAATTGGCGACTTGATCATTTTTGTAATTTTCTGTGCTTCATATCCTTACTACATATACATCTTAGTTAAAGATGCTATTATAGGGAGTCATACAAGACTGTTATCTCCTTCTAGTATATACATACATATATATGTATATATGCATATGCATGGAAAGCCTGAGAGCATTGATTTTCTTCTTGGTATTCGGTATATTAGCTGTAATAGCAGAGTGCCTTTCTCCTTATATTCAGAGAAATGTTTGGATTGAATATTCCTCCCCCTCCTTTCCCTTACCCCAACTAGATTGCTAATTTTTTTTTTCCTCCAAGTTGATTCTTCTTTTCTGCTAGTTGGGTACTGACTAAAATGCTCTGCATATTCCCCTGCTAACTGATCTGACCTCCTTTATACATGTGAGCAGCCACAGAACATCTCAAAGTTTTATCAGATAAAGCATTTGTAATGTTACAGTAGTGTTTCCTGTAAGCCCAACACCTCGATCTGAAAGGCACAGCTCATTTTTTTATTTTTTTATTTTTTTTATTTAAGAAATTTAGGACCATCAGTTTATCAACCTAGGCATGGATTAGCTATTTAAATGAGGGTAAAAGCTGAATTTGAAGGAAACATTCAGTTTGCAGTAGTTGTAATTATCTGTGTAGCAGTGGTCAGAGTCCTGATGTACTTGTCTTCCGTGCAACCGCTGTTTTCCAGGTGTACTTGAAGAATCTGTTTATATTCACTTAACAAACTGCTTTTTATGTTGATATATTTAATACAGTTTCCTACCTCTTGCTGCTCTTATGGAATGCCTTCATTTATCATGCATATCTCAGTTTTTCTCTGCCCAGAACTCTTCCCCCCCGCCCTTGTGATTAAAAGTTCCCAAAGGTTTTAATATCAGCTTGCAATTTATAAGGAGTTGCATCAAGTTATACAAGTCATTGTGGTTTTGGAAATGGTTTGGTTGTGCATTGCTTAATTAATGCTGAGTGCAAGTCACCTGTAAATTGTGCAATGTATTCATTTTTAACTTTAATTCATGTTGCTGGATTTGATGTTTATTGTCCCTTTATGCAAGAAGTTCAACTGTAAAATAAGTAAACTGAATTTGCAGTGATAATAACTGCTGACTATAAATTCTGCATTCAACTCTACTATTATTTTTTCTTATAAGGAATTGCATTTATAGTGGCATATACAAAATATAGCACTATTAGTATGTAATTTATAGTATCAATAAGCAGCTTTATCTGACTGTGGCCTAAAGAACAATTCAGTCAGTTAATGAATGGATAGTCTGATTTTTATGTTATTGAAAGAAGTCTTGCAGCTTTTTTTAACCATTTAGCATTTTTTTCAAGTTTCCTGTTCTTATCTTAGAATTCCTTTTCATGAAAACAAGTTAGAAATGCTTCTGTTGAATGTAATGCTTCTTTAGTATTTTTTGCTGCTGCTATCGCAGGAATAGCTGAGTCATTTAATCTGTTTGAATAGGCTTAGTTTGTAAAAATGAAATCATGATATATTAGCAAAGAATCAATGTGTCTCTGCCGCATGTGTGTGTCTATCAAATCATACTATAGTCTCAATAAACTATTTTTTTAATGAGTAGGTGTTGTAAATGAGAACATTGCTATTGTGTACTATTCCTAATGTATTCTTTCTTATAACTTTTTATAAAGGTTCCAGTCCATTGGTTCAAGTTTGTTCTGGTTTATCAGATGAGCCTCTGTTAGAAAATGTTGAAACTGAAGCACCTGTTTGCCAAACTGTATCGAGCCAAACTTCTGAGACGAACCATTCTCCATTTTCTCTAGTTTCTTACTGTTCGGAAGGCAACCAGACCTCAGGGAGCATGATGAATCCTGATGAGATTTCTGAGGACCTTTCAGAATATGCTCCTGGAGAGTGTAATGATTTGAATGGCCAGAATGGAATTACTTTTGTAAACATTGACTCTTATGAGCCAGATAGCAGTGATGGAGAGGATGATGACAGCCAAGGCCATCTTTCTCTGACACAGGAAGAAGCAGGCTCATTTCAGGAAACACTAGATAACATGCTTTCTGAGTTAGAAAAAGGTGTAGAGTCTTTTTCTCAATTACAGTCCCGGTTATCCGGTCTTAACCACAGTGTTTCTAGGGAATGTTGTGAAGAAGTGGGACCGGTGCCTTTAAGGAGATATTCTAACAGAGATTCAGACTTGACTCATCAAAGCAACTGGACATTTAAAAAAACTTGTGCTGAAGATCAAGCTATACTGAAAAATAACCTTTGTATTGCCACTTATGATGCACAGAGAACAAAAGATATAGTGGATGTTGGAATCAGAACACCAATTTGTAATGAATTAAATGTCAGTGATGGAAAGACTGACCAAGGGAATTTGTCTGAACTCGTGGTGAGACCCAAAATTAGGAAACAAAATTCTGCAAACCAGTTGGATAGAAAGAAACTGCTCCCTAATGATGATGAAGAGAAGAGCAGTTCTAGGAGGCGAAGTGAAGTTGCTGAAGTCCAGCATGGCCTTGCAGAATGCACCTCGAGGAATGGCAAAGAAAACATGAGTTCCAGTATATACTGTGGCCCCAGAGATGATGAAGGTACACTGAAGAATGCAAAAACAGGTTTAAGGAAAAATGTGACTGCTCAGGAAATAAAAGCTGTATTAGATGATAACGCTTTCTGGGATGAGTTTGAAGACTGCAGCAGACACTTCTCAATGTCACACAAAGATGAGGACAGGTAAGATTTGACTTTTTTGACTCTATTTTGTACTACATGTTCTCTGCATTACATATTCTCTGCATAAAATAGTATATTAGTCTGAATAAACTGCTGGCAAATAGTATGGGACATAGTAATAATTTAAACAATTTCAGAATATATGATCAAATAGCAAGATGCCAATTGTTTCTCTCAGTTTTTCTCCTTCATTCCTTCTGAAGTCAATCAAAAGAAATTTGCTTTAAGTTCTCCTGATCCACTATTATGATTTTGATGTCTCTTCTGTGTACAAAACTACTAAAATTTGGTTTGTAGGAATTGGATAAGGGAAGGATTGAGTTTTTACTGGAATGCTGATTGTTACTACCTCCTTATAGATCTAATGTTGCTCTCTTGTAGTATAACTGTATGTTGTCATGAGCATAGGTTATAGTGGAATCTCTTTGGTGTGATGCAACATCCTGGTAGTTTACATACAGCATCTGGTTGTCAAGAAGATTCATTGTAGATAAATATTTTGGAAAAATAGTGAAACATCAAAGTGTATATATATGGGAATATTTATGTCTAATTACAGTGCCATAGGCACTTCAGTAAGCAATAATAAATGCAGAAGTTCTTAGAAATGTTTTCTGAAGCTAAACAAAAATGCCTGAGGGGGCGGTGGGGGGAGTAACAGTTTTCAGATACCATTTGTTACTAGTTCTTTTTTCTTTTTTTTACTAGATTAATTTCAAATATTAAAATTGTAGAATAGTAGTATGTAATGCTTCTGAGTTGGGGATGCCAAACAGCTTTTTAAAAACACAATGAAAACCTAATATGCTGGGAGTCTGCTATCCAGTTGCTAAACTTTTGTTTTGTTTTGTTTAGGCCTAGAGCACACTAATACTCTATAGATTTTTAATTTGTTCATTTTTACTGAGAGGATGAAGTGAGGGAAAACTAGCTCAGCTGCATTTTTTTTATTTTTTTATTTTTTTGGCAAATTACAGGTTCCCCGAAAGAATTGCTACTTTCAGAATTTATTTGGCATCAGATCTCTTATGTATGCCAGCCTGTGTGTATCCTTGTCTCCAGACTTTGAAAGAAAATGTTCTTCCTTGTCTTCTCTGAAGAATAATTTGATTGGATTATAATCCTGTTTTTAATGCTCTTAACATCATGCTGTTTTTTCAAATAGCAGATATTTCCCAAGTATCTCTGAATGCAGTTTCAGATCTGCAGCCTCTATTTACAGTGTGGATCCGCAGGGCAGCATTCAGTCTTGTTCTGTTGTGGGATCTCTGTTTGAAAGAAACTGATTTGTGTGAACCTCATGTTGTTGAACACATACTGATGTGTTCAAAGCGGTGTGAGTTAGGGTTATAAAACTGAGGTATTAGAGGGGAAAACTTTTTTTTAACTTTCTGTTAATTTGTGGAAAATGCAGTAGTTTTTGTGGTTGCTTTAGCTTGAATATCTTGATTTTTTTTTTCTTCCCTTTTCCTTTCACCATCTTTGATTGTGTTCCCACTAGATTCTTTAGAATTCACGTTAGAGATGACAGTATGGCTTTTTTCAACTCTTTGCTATTGTGCTTCATAGTTAAGCCTGTGTATCACTCTGCTTTTGTGAGGTGCACAGCGTGAAAATTAATCGGCATAAAATCTTATCATTAAAATATTGCAGAGTCTCATTTATGGGAGAACAAAATCTTCAAGGCCTTGTAAAATGGGCTGTTAAACTTTTTTTTTCCTTATTAAAGATGTAGGTGTACTTTACAAAAATCCGTTTCTTCCTCACAATATTTGCTTTTAAAAAGTTTTTATTACTGTTTAACTTATTTTTTTTTCTACTGAAGTATGGCACTACCGGTTTAAAAGGCAGTGAAGAAAACATACTATAGTTGCAAAGAGAGCATTGGCTCCCATGGTGCAGAAAAAAGTTGTCAAGTGATTTTAAAAAGTATAGCTTATTTATTTGAAATTCACTATGTTCTTCATAAAAGAAATAAACATGAAAAAGGAAACATTAGATGTTCATCTGTAGATTTGTCTTAAAATGTACTGTAGGTCCTAACTTTTCAGAAGATATAGCCTTTGAATTGTCAATGTTTACTCTATAAAAAGGACTAATATATGCTTTTATGCTCTTAAAAGGTAAAGTTATATGTTTGGATGTTCAGTCATTGTTTTCACATTTAAAAAATGTGCAGCATGAAGAGCATGCTGCATAGCTGACATAGATGTCATATTCTACATCCTTTTTCCAAACGAGAGAAACAAATCACTGTGTTGGTTGCTGCAGCTTGGGCCTCCACCATGTGTTTTCTGCTGTGAGCAGAGGCCCAGCTCTTAGGATGCTGGCGTGAAATAAGAAGTGCTGTGAGAAGTCTCATTTGGTTGTTAGAGCCACATTTGCTCTGAGATGGGTGGCTGTGGCTGCTCGCTGCTGTGGGACAGTGGGATGAGGAACAGATGCATTATAGCATGATCTAGCACTAAACTGAAGGAGCAAGTGCAGCTCAGTTCAGCTGGGTAGGCACCATTCCCATGTACAGATGCTAGGAAAATACAGTGTGCTTTTGGCAAGTGAGAGGTCTGTAATTTGCCAACCTTTACATGAAGCTCTGCATCTCTGCAGAATTGGACCCCATTAAATCCTACACTTTGAAGTACATAAATTCAGTGTTCTTTTTTTGTACAGTATTAATGACTAAAGGCATATCCTCTTTTCTGTTTTAAAACATTGTAGGTATATAAAATTTATTGTTGTAACTTTAAAGGCAGAATATTAGAACAAACTTGACTAGCAACATAGCAGTATTACTTTTATTAAAATCTGTATTAGAAATCATAAGTGGACTGTAATATAAGGAAAGCTATAATGTGAGATGTGAGTCTAAGATGCTAATCTTTTTTATTTTGTAAAGGCTATTTGAATATTCTGTAAAATGGAAGTGATTCAGTGTTAGTTACTGAAATACAGGGTGCATTGAATTGCATATATACTATACAGTACTGACTGTCTCATCTGTTAATTTTTTTTTTTTAACAGATACTCTTTCTTTTGTAAAGAAATCTTTGAAATGGCCTAAGGACAATGAATATTCTAATTTCTTTCACCTTCCCTATTTTTCAGAATTTTAAGAGAAATATATTTCAGATTGAAATTAAAATATTTCCGTATAATCTTTGTTCTTAATCATCTTTATTCTTATACACTTGAAGTGTATGATAGTTGTTTTTTTTCAAAATTACTGGTAAATCATTAAACAGCAAGTTCTGCTGACATGTGATTTTAGTATTATTACACAAGTGGAGAGATTTTTCTTTGAAGTGAACTCAAAGGAGGGGAGATGAGAACATTGATGCACACTTTAAAAGATTAAAAATTAAGAGTTGCAGGTGTCCTGGATTGCTGTGATATTAGTAAGATGAACTCTATCAAGCATGCTTTCTGTTCACTTACCTGTTAGGTATTCCTGTAACGTTTTGAAGAGACTTAGTTGGTTGACTCAACTTTGGTTTCAGTAGGTGTCTCGTGTTACTGCTAGTCCTGAAGGAGCTTTCTAAGTGTATTTCTAAAGGTAGCAGTGGGTAAGTTCATCCTTCATCCAGAAATTCTGCTGCTGTTGTAAAGCTGATCATGGTTTGTTATCTACTACTCTTTTCTACATGGTGGTGGAGCTGAAAGAGCAAATTCTGTCTGAACTGCCCTCTTGCTATTCATCTTTTTGGGGTAGAGAATTAACTATTTTTTCAGTATTTTCTCACTTGTATCTTTTATTTGATTTTTTTTTTTAAAGTATGTAAGTTGGAATTTACTGAGTATCTTGCTTACGAAGTTTTGTTTGTCCAAGATAGAAGATCAGTATTTGCCATGTTTGTCAAATGCTTTATAGATTCACTGCTGCTATTTTCTTTTTGCAGGTTGCTGGGAGAAAGAGTTTTATATAGTAGGTTTTAGCCTTTTTCTCCTGAGATTTTCCATGTACTCTGCGAGTGTGTAGGGAGCAGGGAAAAACCTTTTTGTTGTGTGGTTTTTTTTTTCTTTTTTTAAAGAATGAACATTAACTTTATTACATAGTTACTCTGTAAAGAAATCTGAATAGTAAGTGAATTTACAAAAAAAGTGGCAAATCACATGTGTTGTCTTGTGTTTTCTTTTTTTCTCTCTCTCCCCTTGAAGTGGTGTTTAAATTCACACCGCATTGCCTTGTCTGAATTGCAGCTCCGAATGCAGTGACGGAGAATGGTCTGCGTCTCTGTCTGCATATTTTGCTGCCACAGATAAAGACCAGTCCTCAAGTGATGAGAGCTGGGAGACCCTCCCAGGCAGGGAGGAGCAAGAGCCAGAAGTGCAGAGCTACAGCAGTGGCCTGGAAGAGGAGAGCGCAGACTTCTGTTTCCAAGGAGGGTATGGTTTTTTCATTAAATCTCTTATTAAGTAGCAACACCAGGGTAGCGTGGCATCGACACAACACTATAGAGAATAATACCGGTTCTAGAAATAATTATTATACCATCAGTAATCGTTCTCCTACATCAGAACAATCATACTAGATCTGATATTGCTCCGTTTAGCAATATCAGGGGAAAAAATGTTATGTCATGCACACAGTGCTGACTATTTTATGGAAGAAGTAGAAGTACTAGGAGGGTGGCGTTCTAATGGTAAGAAAAACAGCAAGGTGTAGGCTGACTGTACTTCTGAAGGCAAGATTAGAATTGTTGGCATACCAGCTAAACTTAAAGAGTTGTTTTTTTTTTTTTTTTTTTAACATGGCAGGTGTACACTATTTGTTTTTGCTACCACTCTGTACTCTATACATAACTGTTGTTTTTGCTTCATTATTCTCATATTCCAGTGAATCGAATGGCTGCTGTTTGTTTAGGTGTTTCAGTGATTATAGCAAACTTGAAGAAGGAATTCCTTGCTGAAAACTTTTCTCAGTTTTTCAGTGATTTTTTTTCCCATTTATCCATTTTTTTGTCTTTTTAAAAAAAAAAAAAAGTTCTCTGCTTTTGTTCAAGGCAAGATTGTGTGTAGAAGTAGGTAAGGATAAGTTAAAGGCTTTTTTTGTCTGTTTGTTTTGTTGCGTTTTCCCTTAGCATCTGTCATTGAGCTTGTGTTCTTAGCTGGAGGCTTTATTTAGCAGTAAGTAATGCCTATATGTTTTGCTGCTTTCAACACTAAGGAAGACAGTAGCAACACCATGCACTCCAGAGCTGTGTCCCTAACTTGGTCCTCCTTAACTTACTTGTATCACTGCCTCCTTGAGTTTTGAAGGTTAGCATAGCTTTATGAAAACGTCATACAAGTTCATCCGCTTTGACAGCGGACTCTCTTAATTTGATTCAAACAGGCTACAAATATTGCTGTTTTTGGCATGCTTCCTGCTTGTTTGTTCTCCATTATGGAAAGTGGGTCTCAGGTCTGTGGTTTGAAACATCCGAGTGACCTGTGCTGCTCTACAAAAATCCAGGAATGAAAAAAAATCCTTATTTCTCGTGTATGCACCTCTCATCTATGTAGCGCTTTTACCTATCATATCTCTCTGCACTCAGGCCAGGCTTCCATTTGGAAGGAGAGCCTTTCTTTTCAGTTTCAGACACTTATACATGACTAAGATAATCTTTGGATAATCCAAGTTGCTAGCCCTTTGTGTGAAGGGAAATGCAAAGAAAGCTGTTTACTATACTGCTCTTGTACATTAGACAAATGCTGTCACTACTGAATCGTGGGTGTTACAAGATTCTAGGTCTGGGTGGGTCAGCTGTTGCAGCTAGAAATTTCTTTTCTTTAAACAGTAAATGCTCACTTGAGAATCCAAATCTTTGTAGTCTGAGAAACATAAGGCTGCTACCCTTTTTGCAATATGTTTATAACTTCTGCTGTTTGCATCTGTCTGTAAATTCTTCCAAATTTTTAGTTTTAGCCTTTCAATTATTTTTTTAAAGGGAACAGACATCTTTGGAGGAAGGAGAGATTCCCTGGTTACAGTACCATGAAGAAATAGAAAGTAGCAGTGATGAGGAAGATGATGCAATTAGTCACTTGGTGCATCCTGGCTGCTTTATGTTGGATGGGAACAACAACCTTGAGGATGACTCCAGCATGAGTGAGGACTTGGATGTTGAGTGGAGGTATGCCTGAGATGGTTTCCTGTTTTAATTTCAGAGGCTTTAGCTATTGTAAAAGCTTTGCTTTTTATTTTACATATTAGAATAGGCATGCTCGTCAGTATGCACTTGCTTCAAGCCTGATAGTGCTGTTTTTCTTCTAACAAGAGAAAAAAGATCATAGATTTACTAAATCAGCCTGGTGGTCAGAGGATGTTAGGTGTGTTCTCAATTTATTTCCAGGCCACTAAACAGAGTGGAAGTATATAAAAGTATAGCAGTATGTGTATAATCATCATTTTGTAACTTTTCTTCCATTGCATGTGCTGTTAGACTAAATAAATAAAACTTTTTCTAATGCCAAATGGAAACCTAATATTATCATAATTTTGAATATTTTACTTAATTTTTCTGTTACTAGATTATTGAAGAATGTTGTAAGATAATTTAGAAAATTCTTGCAGATAGTAGAAGGATTGCAGAATCCCTTGCATGGCATTATTGAATCTAATCCTAGAATAGTATAGTGTGTTTATTTTAAAGTGGATATAAAAAAGAGCTAGAGAGAATGCTTTCCAGTGTGAGACTTAAATCTTAACTTATTAAAAATAATTAAATTCTACTATAAAAGTACCTCATTGAGGAGAATATACCTATCTCTCTGATATATTTACAGAAGGTATAATGGGGAATAATGCATGGAAGCCTTACTGGAAGTGACATGTACTGAAAATTACATATTCTTTCAGTGAAAGTCAATTAGCTATGGCAACAAGCCACCAAGAGAATTGGAGGATTCTTAGTAGGGTATGGACAGATGTTGTTTTTCAGTTATAAAGGCTGCACCCAGCAAGCTTCCTTAAGTGATCAGAATGGTGGGAAGAAACTTCTCTAAGAGGCTGTTAGGCTGTTTGTCTATTCAGCATACACAGATATGTGCTTGATTTTGCTTGTGTCCATTTTAAAATTTTGTCTCTGAATGTTGAAAGCAAGATTTACAGCTTCTTCTAGGCTAAGGCCTGTAAATCATTATTAAAATCTGAGTGCTAATTTTAAGAGTTGATATTAATAATGCATGTGAAATTTATTGCCAGAACTCCTGTAACTGCATGTTTTATCCTGAAACAGTTAACAGTAAAAACTCACTGCAAGTGCATCTCCTCCTAGAGTACAGGTACAAATGGCGGTGTTAGATGATGCACAGTAATTAATGTACCCAGGCCTTGTGCTGTTACTCTAACTTTGTAATGAAGAATGTTACTGAAATCATGTTTTTCAGACTGCTTGATGAGTTTGGGGATGGCCTAGGTGTCGCTCAAGCTATTTCGTATGAGGACCCTGAATTTCTCACATATATGGCATTAGAGGAACGCTTAGCACAAGCTATGGAGGTACTCAATTATAGTTATTGACTTCTGTAAAATAAGACCGAAGTGCACCAAGTTTTTCTTTTTTCTTTTTTAATGGACGAATATTCAAGTCATTGTGAACTGCAGAATGACTCTTTATTTAACTTCATAATCTAGCCGGTAGTCTCTTACATTGTAACATTAAATGCAAAAGAGCTTAGGTTTTACTCCAGTCAGCTTTGCAGCAGTGTGTAAGAGTGCTCTATATGTTCTCAGTGGTATCATGACATAGGCTTTCATTACTGCATCCTTATTCAGGAGTTGACCAAGACTCGGGGGAAGGGGAAAATAAAAAATGACTTTCCTGTTTCAGCTTGAGCTTAGTGTTGCTAAATTCTCTACATATCAAAAGAATGTTTGTTCATACCTGGATCTGTGTCCAAAGATTATTCCAGCCTCTTTTCATGAAAACATAAAGACATTGTGTCTTTATTGCCTGAGACAAGACTGGTTTGGATTTGATTGTCTTACATGCCCCCCACCCCCCCCTTTTTTTTTTTAATTGAATTTTCTCTTAACTTGGCTTTTCATCTATTTAACTTTATCACCCCAGTTTTGTGGTGATTTTTTCGAATTGAAAAGGTCTACCTTTTTTTTTTAATTTACCTTTTCATGTTGGCCACTTTCAGATGGCATATGAAATTAGAGAAAACTCAGTTTGAGACTTTTCAATTCTTTCATTCTGGCAAATTTCCCCTGTAGGGTATTTACCAAAAGAAGAGTTAAATATAAATGTCTTATGAGTAGACATGTTACACAATATTGCAACAATTACCTTGAGTTGTTTCATATGTGACATAAATTGAGGGGCAGTGCTGCTTGACTCCTAGCCATTAATTAAGTGGGTGGACAGATTAGACTGTATGTGCTAGTATGCTTGCAGGCACAATACCAAGAATATCTTTTTTTTTTTAAAGCTGACTATTAGTGAGACAATTATAGATTTTTTTTTTTTTTTTGCTTGTTTCTTTTCCTTATGGCTCTCTGGGTTGTTAATGATTTGATGGAAAATGGCAAATAGACTTTCTGGGGTTTTTCCAAGGGGGAAGGCAGCCAAAGGATTCCCTGGAGTGGATACTGATTCAGTTTCCAGCTCTCCTAGTTCCCGCAATTTATACTGGAGGTGAACCTTATTTAAGAGCAAGTCCTATGGGTTGCCTTCACCCATGCAAGATCTTACCACTACTTATCTGGAGACATTTCAAAACTGTGTGCAAGAGGTCTATTCATACCCTTACTACAAAAAAACAGTGTTTAGAAGTTTTATAGGGAAAATTCAGTGTCCATTTCATTGCTACAGTTTCTTTGTAGCTATCAGAAGCAGCTGATGCTCTCTTAGCACCAAAGCAAGATGTTCTGTGTAGAGAACCTCTTTTGTTTTTTAAAAAATCTATATGTTGCATGAACTTTAGGCCTTGTGATTTTGTCTATCTCACTACTGTCTAACAAAACTCTCCAGCTAATTCGGTCAGGTGAAATGCATGGACTCTTGTCAGGCTGACCTCTGAAAGCAATCCTAGGTGACTATATGCATGACAAAGAAGCTGCTGTAATTACATTAGTGTCACCAGGAAGTGAGTGTCGTTGAACCACTTAGCAAGCAGAGAGAGGTCCTCAAATGTGTTGGTTATCCTCTGAGTATGGCACCAGTTACATCCAGTCACCGTGGATATCAGAAGAGAGAAAACCAATTCTCTTAACCAGTGCTTTAAATTTGAGTGTCTGTATCAACTGGAGTTTCTTCAGGTGTAGAGAGCTTCTTCATACAAAGTCGAAGGACCCATGAGTTCCTGAGGGGAGACCCATCAATGCTGGGCTGTCGTGGAGCCTTCCTGAGTCCTGTGGATTGGTGCAGAGGCACTGCAGCCTCGTCTCTGCCCCTCTAATAGGGCTTTGATGCTATCTGTCCATTAATTTCCATCCTATGCTAAATAAATACCCAGTAAGAAATTCCAGAATATCAGTGCTGCTTGTAATGGCTAGGGGTCAAATATAATAGCTGATTCATATGTCTGTTCCTCTAGAACACAGCCATGTAAGATATCATATTAAGTTGTATTAATCAGTGCTGTACGCTCTCTTTATTCTTTGCCTATTTGATTAAGCAGAATTAAAATACTTTCTATTAAGCATTATTACCTGCTGTCTTGTTGCCCAAAAGATTGGGTCTTACTATGTTTACTCACCAAATGCATCAAGCAAAAGTTATTCTCTTGTGCTGGTTGGATATTTCGAGTTCTTGTGGTTTATCTGGTATACTGGTGTTCATTTCGGTTTGCCTGTTTGGTTCTGGAAAGCTGTTATAGTGATACTATTTACCTGGCAATTTCTGCCTTTTGGAAATGGCAGAAAATGGTGAATGTAATAAAAGGGACATCTGACCTGATTGAGACTGGAGTCTCTACTCCTACTCTACTAAGTGTAGGCATATATTTCCTGTTTTCTTAACTTACGAATAGCTAATGCATTTAAATTACAGCACTGCATTAATAATATTTGATGTGGCCATATAACATCTTGTTGTAATCGGAAATTTGTGATCCTGGAATTGCTTTTCAAACTAGCTTTCAGTGAAACAGTAAATGACTTGTGTCATTAAGTATGTCATACTGTTACAAAACTTTTCCTTATCTTTGCTACTGTGGTTGCTATGCTTGCTCAGGTATGTGGAACATAACATTTTCAGGGAAAAAAAAGATATATAGATACAGATATAAAAGAAAATGTTTGCTTTGGGAATGCGAAGAGCAAACTAAACTGATTCTTTTCAAATTTCGTTAAGAGATGCGTTCCTGAAAATACGATCTCTGTCTACTAGAAAAGCACGGTTTCTGATCTTCCGTTCATAGGGAGTATAGAAAACGTTTGTAGTTTTGTCAGAAGGTTGCATGGAAAGTGCCTCAGTCAGTAGGGTCGAGATGGTCAGACATGACAGCACTTTCATGGAAGACAGAATTGAAAATAGCCTGTCTTCTTCCTGGTCATGAAAAGTGTTTTTGTACCAGGGGTTTGGTAACGTAGAAGTCTAAACTTTGATTAACTTTATTAAATATTAACAAATTGGGTTGAGTTTAATTACATCATTTAAAATTCTGTCTGATGACTGTGATTTTCATTCAGCCTGATCTACTGAATCCTCCTCCTTAAAACTTGTGTTATTTAACACAGAAGATTCATTAACTGTAGATTTTTTTTTTCTACCTGTAACAATATAATTATTATCAAAGTCTATCATAGCTGGGAAACTCTTTCAAAAAAATTTCAAAACTGGTTTGCTAAAGATATGAGATGAAAGGGATATGACATAGTGCTTTCAAAATCAGATGTATTTTCTCTCTGTGGGACAGATAGTCAAATTGGTTACTGTTAACAGTGATATTTGGAGGGGAGAAGTGGCTATTTTATGTAAGATACTGGAATCCTATTAAAGTAGCTTCTGTCCTGAAAATGTAATAACATCTCTGTGTGACTTTTTTCTTCTTCTACTTGTTTTAAGAACGTTATGTAGTGGGAGCGTTTGGTTTCTTCAAAAGGAGTCTAGATCAGTTTGGGTGCCTCTGCAGCATTAGTAAGTTTGCTTATAGATCTTACCTGAGCCAATTCACAGATGTGAGATACTTAAAGCCTCTTTTTGGTTTTAGCCAGTGTTGAGACTATGGTACGTGGAACAGTAAGCAGTCACCACCTTTAGGAGGAGGATGACAGTAAAGCTATCTTGTAAAGCTTGACAGCAAAGCTGTGGACATTTTTTTGGTCTGCTTTTTGCTTTAGAAGCCTGCAGTTTCAGGCTTCAGAGTCATTGTAAGGCTTCTTTTCTCTGGTGTTTTTTATGCTGTTTTCAAAAGCAAACAGTACTTTGCTTTTGTAAATTATTTTCTATCTTAGAGTACTAATACTGAATACAGACACAAAGGCTTTCAGATAATATTCTGTAGGTTTGTTGATAATCTTGCATCCTTTTGTGTGCCTGAGAGCTTATCTAATACTTCAGCTGTAGCAACGGATCTACTTAAACATAGCATTTTTTTAAACCTAGAAGTTACTCTCAGACCATCACAGCTGTGTAGGAAAATGGTGTTGTAAGTAATGACTAAATGTCATTAAGGCAGTATTGCCCATTGTAGGAGACTTGACTGAGTTTATTAAGCTGTTAAATTTGAGAAATGTATTTATTTTGCAGGTAGAGTTTTGTATTGCACCATGGACAACTATCCCTGGGTTACCTTTGCCCCGGATGACTTACAGATGAGAATACTTGTGCTAGAAGTGAGCTTGGCAGAACCTGTAGATACTTGCCTGTTAGGCCACGCCAGTCTCTGCGCTGCCACAGCCCTGCGCTCGGAGCCAGTGTGGGAAGGCGGCCGCGCCGCACGGGCAGGCACCTCCTCAGCTGGCTCCTTCCACGCCAGCAGCAAAAATGCTGGAGAGGTTAGCGTGTAAGATAATATTTCTCGTGTATGTGTGTGTATACACACACGCACACATATCAAGTGTTTTTAGCTACTAGGTGGTAGAGCATCCCTTATTTTCTGCAGAGATTATAAAAAGACCTCTCATCAGAAAGATTTTCGGCCATTAGAATAAACAAATTGCATCTTGGCAAGTAGTTCATAAAGCATATGAATAGTTCATTCAGTGTGTAAACTCAGTACTTTGGAGTGGGTTGGTTTGGTTCTTCAGTTTCAATTTGTATTGATGGTACACAACCAGATGCATCTCCTACTTACCCTAGAATTGAGATTGTTTATATTTTCTGTGTTGTGGGTTTTTTTTAACTGATTTTTTTTCCCCACTGTTAGGTCCTTTCTTATGATCAAACATATAATCCAGACATCAGCTGTGCCTGCTGTGGTGTTGTATTCTTAATGATTCTGTATGATCAAGATCTTAATTTGACGTGTCAAACAAGTGACAACTTCTGAGATAGCACTATGCCTGTCTTAGATGTTTCTCATCTGTATGAACTGTGTGAACCTTTTTTCTGAAAACTTGTATTGCCAGTGTAGCTCAGGTACCTAGTGAAAAATGTAGAATCTATGTGATTTTGTACCTGAAGCAAGAAAACACATTAGTGAAGCTTTCGTATTCCAAAAGTGAAATGTAATGACGGTTCAGTATTTGCAGGCTTCTCTGCTTTGTGACTTGATGCCTTGTCTGCATATCTTTTTCTTTTTTCTTTTTTTTTTTCTTCAGACTAGGCTGTTCAGTTACAGCAACCACTGTTCATTAGCGAATAAGCCACAAAGCCACAACTTTCACTTACTTTCTTTTTCTTTTTAAGAAAGATTAAAAAACTTTAGTCACTAAGCTGTGACTATTTCACCCTCAATTTCACATAATTCCTCACAAAAAAAATGCAGTGGCGTTTTTGCAATATGTATATAGCCTCTGCTGTTTGCATTTTTGTTTTTTGGGTTTTTTGTATGGAATGTTTCATTTGTGAGTTACAGAATTTAATTTCCTTTTTCAGACTGCGCTGGCCCATTTGGAGTCCCTGGCCATTGATGTGGAACGGGCTTATCCACCAGCTAGTAAAGAAAGCATAGACTGTCTGCCACAGATTGTTGTTGCAGAGGACCATAATGGTATGGAAAAAATAATTAATCCCTGCAAAGTAAAAAGGAGCAAACTTAACTTTCTGTGGTTGCACAGATAAAAAATTAAGTATATTTATTTTGTGCAGCTGGCAATGTTGTTCCGAGAATTATCTTCATAGGTCTTTGCATCTTCAATCAGTTTGTGAATATGTTTGTTCAGTTTGAAGGTTAATTTTTAGTAAGGTGGGTGTGATTGCATATTTTATCATTAGTAATACTGTCAGTATGAATTGATTTGATTTCAGTTAATCTCAGATGTAAACAACAACAATAGTAATAAAACTGCTTTTTTCTTCTGCACGTCTCTAGGGCAAGACCAGTGCTGTGCAATTTGTTGCAGTGAATATGTAAAAGATGAAATCATAACAGAACTACCCTGTCATCATTTTTTTCACAAACTCTGTGTAACTCTTTGGTTACAGAAGGTAAGTACTACCATACTGATTTTCTTTATTTTTTTTATCGAGATTTTTTTTTCTAGTAAGAATCCTTTATAGCTTTTTTTTTAATGTGGTATGAAATACTGTTTAAAAATTGGTTTTATGCTTTGTGAAACCAAATGCTGTGAATGAATGTGAGGAAATTAATTTATATCTGTAGTAATCTGGAGGAGATTGATCTGGTCTTAATTGTTAGGTGTGCTGATTATATATAGCTCTAAATACTAAAGTTTTCGATTCATATTAGTAGAACACTGTTTTTAGATAGGAGTGTAGTGTCATTCTCCTGGAATGAGAATTGAAAGACCTGCTAAAGTACTAGTAGAGGAATTTAGAAAGCTTGCTATTGAGAAACATACATTTCTTTATCTCTGTCACTTCCCAAGGATTGAACTGAAGCTAGAGTAAAAGACCTGTATTGATCAATTATATTTTTTGAAAATTTCCTTCTGCGTTCTGCTTTATGTATGGTATGAGTCTGGATATTTTTAGTTGTTAAATAGTTTTTAGAAAACTACTAAGCAGATAGATTCATGTGCTATTTCTTCTAGCATTATGAGAGAAAGAATAATTCCTTCAGATCAAGGGATTAGATCTCCTTTCGTATGGAATTCTGATGGAGGTTTTAACCTTTTTTTCTATCTCCATAGCATTATTTTCATGTCTATATTGTTTGTGATACATCTTGCATTTATCTATCGTCATATAGTAAATGCTGCAGCTGAAACCTAGGCCGAAGTACAACACGTTACTTTTTGTATGTACCTAATTTATATTTATTCCCTGCTTCAAAAAAAAGCTCATAACTGTTTTTTAAAAAAAAAAAAAAAAAGTTTTTTTTTGAATAGAGCCTATGTCTTTTTAGAGAGCCAGATGTTTCTTTTGGGTAGCAGGATGGAAAGTAAAAGGCAACCTTCATTTCTGGTGACATTATGTATCTTGGTTCTAGTCTGGTAAGTTTATCCAGCAAAATCTAACTTTGAGGTAGTGATACAGTTAAGATGCGGTATAATTTCAAAAGTCAAAAACTTTACAATTTGTATTTAGAAAAGCATGTGAACTGTGCCAAAAATCCTTTTTTGTTGTTGTTGTTTTTATGCAGTCAGGAACATGCCCTGTTTGTCGTCATGTGCTCGCCCCCATGCTCCCTGAAGCAGCTGCTGCCACTGCCGCCTCCCTGTCTGATCAGGATTCCTCATCTCCTGCTCACAGTGCGACAGGAACTCGAAACTAGTGTCTGAAACGAAGTGTTGGCCCTCAAAATAAAAATGTAAATTTCTGCTGTTTAATTACAATGTGAAAACAATTATACATAAAATATTATCTGTAAAATATTATATATATAATATACATTTCAGCTTAGAAAGAGGATGTAAGACTTTAAGCTGTTTAGGTTGACAACAATAGCGAAATTTTCAAACCTAAAGTTGGGAAAATGTGCGCCCCTTTTCTTTGTAGTAGAAAGCTGCTGTTAACCATAATATCTAAAACTTGTATTATGATAGATTTCTCCCAAAAAAAGATAATTATTGTGGCACTTTATGTGAAAGTTCTTGCAACTGCAGTGCAGTTGGAGCATTATTAAAGTTATTCTTGTAACGTGTTTTATCTAATATAACCAAAGTATTTGTCAAGAGTTAGTGCCGCTGAGTGACTTTGTAATTGATCTCTCATGTTTGCATCAAATGTGAAGATGTTTTGTGCTCACAGCAGTAGCAGAATTTGGATTCACTGGAAATAAATTGCATAATGGAACAATATTTCTTATGAGTTTATTCCATAATAAACTTTCTCCAGATATCAGAATTGCTATTAAGCTGCTGATGACTTGACAGTCTGGACATTTGAAAATTGTTAGCACCATTTTTAAGCTTATATTCTATCTCAGAAGTTGAATCCGTAAGAGCTCAACACCTGGTTCCTTTAGTTTTTGTTCATTCCATCTTAACGTTCTTTTTTTATATATGTATCCATTGTGGTGGGGATGGTTTCCTAATGCAGATAGTTAAAGTATGTTTAGGCTCCTGGAGTGTTAAGTTTGAAAACAACAGTAAGAACTTTTATGCCCTTAATAGGGAAATACATTGTCACAAGATTCCTTAAGGGCAGCAAAGGAGAATGACAGTGGAATAACTAGTTATTAGGATAATTATTGTAAACTTCAAAAAAATAAAAACATTTCTAGTACTCCCACTAGTTGTAATAGGCTGTGCTATGCTTAATGTCTTAAAGGAAAAAAGGTGTAGTTTCTAAAATTTGTATCTGTAAATAATTTCATGTCTCAAAGTTTTTGCACATCCTGAAGTTAATCTTGCAGGACAGGAGTTTGAGATTTGGATGTGCATATGCATGCTAATGGCTGCTCAAAAGCTTTTCAGTGGTTTTTGGAGAGATAAGTAATTCCCACAGTATTGCTACACGGGAACTATATATATGGATTCAAAAAAAAATTCCAGTTTTTCCAGTAACTAAGAGTTGGGCTAAGCTCTTGAAAATGACAAGTGATTAATAAAATTATTGTAGCAATTCCTGTGTTGTTTGATTATGTTTATGCCATCATAGTATCTCATTACTTTACAAATATTATTGTATTCTTCTAACATCAGTAGAAGAAAAACAAAACTCATTTTGGAGGGGCATATTGTGTGACTTGTCTTGCAGCATGACTTGTGGACTGGAGCAGAACAAAGAGTTGATGGCAGTTGACACGAGCCTATTCCTAAGGGTTTTCAGTTATGTAATTCTGTGCTTTAGAGGATGCCAAAACAGTAGGATACTGGTGAGAAGTGGCAGATGCAGTTAGCACAGTTCCTTACAAGCTTCTTCCTGTGGGGAAAACGCTATATCAAATTTCACTGAAAAAGTAGTAGTAAACCTCCTTAAGCATGCATCTACTCATTGGTGGAGTTATTCTAATCCAAGAAACAGTATTTTTCCATGTCTTTGTTAGTAACCAGTGCAGTGGAGTCATAAAGCACTTGATGTGTGTCTACCAAATGCTACAGGCAATAAAATGCAGTCTAAATTTTAAAATTGATCCAAGGTCTGTGTGGAATCCTGGGATGAATGTAGGCTCCAGAGAGGGCAGTAATTAAGACACCCTTGCCTGATAAAACCGCAGAAGATTTGGCCTCATTGCTTAGCAGTATGAAGCTTGCTGCTACGGCAGTTCTGTTCTTCAGTTCTTTAGTAGCTCCCATCTGCAGCAAATGTTATGACAGATATTTTAACTAGCTGTTACTGTACAGTTTCTCTCTGGAATGGCACAATAGGATGGTGTTCATTAATGTCTTGGCAGTGTTTTATTATTAATCCCTGGCAAGATATTGCTGCTTTTTTAAGTATTTGTTTCTTCTTGACCTGCAATGTGAAGAGCTGAAGCAGCTGTTGGGCTTTTTCTCTGCTATCTTTTGCTGGCCTCAGCTCTTGCTTCTTTCTGTTTCTAAAAAGCTAGTAGATAAATGCCTAAAAGAGGATTATTAGGGCCTTTTTTATATATATACTTGAATGTAAATGTCATATTGACAGATCTTTCATAGCAGCTCAATGGATGAAATATCAGATAAAGGATCACTCTAGTGAGGAGTTTGACAAACATATGCTGGATCATTCCTACAAGATTTTAAGTGATTTTAAGTGTGTATCTCACAAAAAAGGGAGAGTAAATGATGAACCATGCTTTTCCATGTTTGTTGTTGTTATTTAATTGTTTTGGTTAAATAATATCATACCAGACTCCCATACAGTGTTATTTGAATCTAAAAAGTTTTGGTTAAAATAGGCTTGTCTCTGGACATGTAAAGTTGTTTGTTTTTTGTTTTTCTCCTTTGTTCAAAGGGAATGTTTTAGACTTTCTTCAGTAAAAGAAGTTTCAGTTGCAAGGAAAAATTCTTCTCTTCCATGTAAAGTAAAAGCAAAACATTCAACAAGAATGAAAAAAAGTAGAAGAAAAGTGGGGAGAGGAGAAAAAAAAAAAAAGCTTGTTTCTACTGGAAGTTCATATTGTCTCTGCATGCGCTAGTACATTGGAGGCATCTAACTTAGACTCTAATAAAAAAAAAAAAAATGAAGTGGATATGAGTGACCTACTTTGATAGTTTAATAATATAAAATTCATTATGCAAAAAGTATTTTTGATAAACTAACTGCACGATATAAGCTGAATGCATTTTTACATTTCCATAAAACATTTTCATTCCAGAGCTGAAATGCAATTTCTTTTTTCATAAGAAAAAAAATAGTACTTTTTTTTTTTCCTCCTCACCCTGTGTTCATCTCAGATGAGTTCAGACATTCTGACAGGTTTTGAAAGAAAGCCTAAAAGTGTAAATTATAACTATTTGACACAAAAACAACAAATTTTATTTATTTTGTATAATTTTTATGTTGAAAACAGCTAAGTTAACATGAAAAGAACCTCCCCTTAGATCAGAAGTGTGTTTCAGTTAGTTCTAGGGCCATATATGTCTTAGGATTTATGTTAAGATTCAGAAAGCTGTTCAGTTAAACTCACAGCTCTAACAGCTTCTTTGTATAACTATAGGAAACCCATTTTTCCCCCCATGTTTCCTAATTTTGTTTTTTATTGAATACTTAGAGGGAAAAAATGCTTTTAGCTGTAAAAATGCATTTTTTCCTCTACAAAAAATAACTGCTTACAAGCCACATAAAGTGCTTATGCCAAGACTGTTTTTAGCAGGGTGCTAAAAATTTAAAAACTTCATACTGTCTTTCACAAGGGTCATGCAATAGGTTGAATTTTGCATTCCTTCTGCCTTGTAGCAGATGTCTAAATGAGTGCTCAAAAGGCAGATGTAAGTCCATGCAACAGAGCAACTGAAGTGATGTTTGGAAAGAGATCAGTATAGCTGGGTTCTAGTCTGGATTTTTAGTTTCTTGTAGGAGATAAAGGGGAGATTACAAATCCAGTAGCCTTCTGAGGTCCTAGTAAGTCAATATGACTCAATGGGGTGATCCTCCTGTCCTGTCTTTAAATGTTGAGTTCAGCTCCCTCTTGCCTCTGTAAAGACAAGCAGCAGCCGGCTGGGTCTGAAGCACTTTAAGTTACTTCCTCAGCTTATTTCTTCGTGTTCTTTTTTTGCTGCCTGACACCAGTTTTTCTTGTTCTTGGCTTGGAGGGAGGTGTTGAGCTCTTTTGCTGCAGGCAGTTTTTCATCTGCAGTCAGGGCCGCTGCAGAGCTGCGGGCCGCCGGTTTCAGTTACCACGTGGCACTTACTGCGCTCTTAGCTCTGATGCCTGTTTGATAGCCTCGGTGTGTGGTGCTGCTTTGGCATTGATGCTTCTCTTGAATTTTCATGCTTTACATCTAAAGTAAGCCTTTCTCTGTGTGTGATGCTGCTCTGTCATTTGGCTTCGAAATGCACTTCCAGCACATCCATGCCCAGATGCAGCTTTCCAGACTTCCCAGAAGCAGAACAGTGAAATTCTAGGGTGCTGCAAACTGCGGGGGACGGAGAGACGAAGGCAAAGGAGGGTTTTTTTATAGGTGTCCTTCTCCAGCCCCTTTCTGCAAGCCCCTTCAGCCAGGTTCCAGCTGTGCCCCCATACAGCAGGTGCTCTCCTTCCTCAGTATTAACATCATCCCAGCACACGCATCTTTCTCTTTTGTTGTAGTAGCCTTGCTTGCCTTCTTGTGGCTGTCAGCTGCTAGAAAGGGGCCCCAAAAAAACCTAAAGAGTGCAACTGAAAACATGAAAGTGGGGGGTGTTGGAATGGATGAGGACGTTATAGAAGGAACCAAGAAGAAAACAGCATTTTTTCTGCATTGCTAGAGTTAAGAGAGTAGTGACTCCTTTCAGATAAGGGAATTACCTTTTCATATCTTCCAGCCACAATATTGTGTAGGGAGGAACTAGAGAGGTTTCTAACTGGACCTTTCATTGCCATGAGCAAGCAAGCTGTCTCTTGCCTGCAGTTAAGCTAACTGTAGTGCAGTAGTTAGGTAATCATGAAAACAATTCTGCTTTAAAAATAAAAGAGTTTGTTCAAGCTTTTTGGTAATATGTAACAGTGATGACTTGCTTGTTAATGGCAAGCTCAAATTTTGTGGAAATGTGCATATACATCACTATGTAGTAGAAAGGGAATTCAAAGTGATAATTCGTGCTAAACATGGGAAGAAGTTGTAGAGTTTATGACAAAATTATAGTTTGCAGGTTTTTAGTTGTTAAAAATTGAGACAATTTATTTGTCTCCATCCAGTGAGACAGTCCAGGAATGCTAGTGTCTCTTGATGGCTGTTGTGCTACCTTGTCATTTAAATTCTGTCCAAGCTAATCAAAATTAATTTAGT